ATTCGAATATTGATATGATATACGTACGTATGTATTTGAAATAACATATGGAAATTGGAATACTTACCCCTGCCTATCAATAAGCGATATTTTCGGCTTATTTGATGCCAGTTTTAGGTATGTTAATAACAAAGTTAAATATATTTCGTTTATTTTTCCGCTCCATAGCCACAAAATTATTTTCCCTTTAAAAGGTTTGATTTTTTTCTTCTTTTTTTTTTTCATTTCATTTTAGCCCGACATTCATATGTGAGGGAGCGATAAAAAATCGGCATATGAATATCAACTGAAATGAAAAATTTACGGTTCGCTTTTTTATATTTTATTTGTTTTCTTTTTTTTTTTTTTTTGCTCTTTGAAATATGAAAAGGAATCATATTCAAACATAGACTGGCAAACACAATGGGGTGATAGATTCAAGAGCAGTAAATAATCGAGGCCGGGGGATGAAAAAATATTACCGAATTATTGTATCAAAAGCATATTTCCATTCTAGTAGAACGAATTTTATGCTTTTTCAATAAACATTAAACGTTTTCTTGATTTTAATTTTTTTTTTTTTTTTTTTTTTTTTTTATGTTGCATTCAATAAATGTGTACCAATTTGAAGCATTTGTTGTTGCGTTTATATATTTGAATTGTTTGCATACCTGCATTGAAAACTTAACGCCAAATACATGGAACAGGCGGTAGAACGATTACGATGCTCGATTTCTTTTATTTAAAAAGCTATTTTATATCGCGAATGAAAAACTTAGGCGTTTTAAAAATCGCTTCAATTGTATTTTTTCTTCTTTTTTCTTTTTTTGTTGATATTTTTCGTGAAACGCGCCTAAACGTAACATATCCGTTAGCATTATTATGGTATTTTATAAATACATTCACTCAGGCATGCAATATTTTGTATTTATTTTGCCTAACCTAAGGCGTTTCGGTTAATGCTTATTGCTTTACTTTTGGTGCTCTTGTTGTTTTCGTAATGTTTTTCCAAAAGGAAATTGTTTACGCAAACAAACTCTACCGTCTGTCCCTCCACCCCAACACTGTAAAGTGTATTATAAAGCATTTCTATATCCACATAATCATCGTCCTTCCTTTGTTGCCTTTAAATTGCCGAAGCTTAGAAAAAAAAAACAAAAAAAACAAAAAAAATCAATGAGTTGGAAATTTTTTTGTTTGTTTGTTCATTTCTTTTTATCAAATACTTCGTTTTGTTCATTTCACTTCGTTGTTCATTTTTTTATTCCTAAAAAATATATTTTTACGCGCACATACGACAAGATTACGGTTTCAGAATAAAATTTTAATTTACCATGAAATTAAAAGAATTTTAAAAATTGTACACAAAATAAATATTCATCTGTTGGTGGTTCGCTGAATGCCTTTTAAGAAGAAGAAGACGAAAATATTAAAACAAATAAGGCTTTTTTTATGACATAATTTTTTCAAATGATTGCATTCTTGTGCCTTTGCAAGACCAGAGGAGCAAATAAAGCCGGAGTCGTCCAGATAGCACCCTAAGCCCTTATCAAATATGGGAACGTGATCACATATCACATTTTGAGTATAGAAGTAATATAATTGCTTAAATGTCTCTAGCGTTATAGAAGAAAAAAAATCGAAGAGTTCTAAATGTAAAAAAAATTAGTCGCGCGCGTTGGAATCCATATCTAATCGATTCTTTTGAAATCTAAAGCTTTGCGGTAAATTCAAGATTTTATTTCTCAATTCATTATATTATTATCCATTATTATCAAGCACGGTTTGCCAAATCCTTCTTGTAAATCTTCAATCCCCCTCAAGGTGTTTTGATTGTAAGATAATTAAGTATAGGAGATAAGAATCATACTGCTGTTTGACTTCAGAAATTCATTGCTTGAAAGGCGTTATCTTATCATTTAAGAATTCATTTTTGCTCTCCGGTAATGATTCTATTCAGCAGCCGATTTCTACAAACCTGGATATCAATGAAGTGCAAAATGATTGACGAATATTTTTGTTCTTCTCCCTCCCATATTATTTGCCTCTATACCTTTCCAATTTCAGATATAGATGTCTTTGCATAGTTCACCATGTAGACCCACAGTTTCTCAATAGTTCTTGTATACTTAAATTTAGATCAGCATCGTCTAGAGATTTTAGAATGTCGTTGGCATATTTAACCGGTCGACCTTTTCGAGGCTTGCCGCAGAGATCATAACCACCAACAGCACACTTTCTTTCATCAAATTATCTTAAACATTGCGGTCTGTAGGGTAAGCATAAGACAACAAAATTGACGAACGGACAAACAAAACTGAGTCGTTCGACAGAATAAAAGGTGGGTCTATCTAAAGTCCAATCCAAACCACTTTCAATAGGAACCGAGTCTGAATAAAAGGCAAGTCTCACAACTACGGATCTGAACCCGAAAAACTCCAACTTTTCCACTATCAAGTTTGTGATTTACTCTGTCGAACGCTTTGGAAGAATCCTTAATAAAACGCACATCAAGTAAGCTATTGCGATCCAAAGAAAAGGGGATATAGTGGATGGCCAAAGCAATGTTTTAAACATTAGTAAAAATTTGAATTATTTGAACCAACCATTGGCCAATAACCATAATTGCAATCACTGAAGATGGCTAAAAGAAAAAAGAAGCAAACAGCAGCTCAACAATCCAAACAACCAGCTCTAACATTTCATTGTATATGTTGCGAAGAATATTTTATAAATCCTTTACTTATGTATGAGACCTGCCTGAAGCAGATAAAGAAATCCTACAGGCGATATTAAATGCTTCCTGGATATTATTAGAAGGACGCTTTTCGCTTCTTCCAACTCCATTGCATTTCTTTTTAAAATACTGTGTTTAATACCCTGCGCGTGTTCGGTAGGACGATTGTTCAATGTTCGTTGTCTATTATTATTATATTATATAAATAAATTATAATAATAAATTTATTATATAAATAAATAAGGTAAAATAAAGAAGATCTTGATTATAATTTATGCAAGTGTGGTTAATGCGATTTGTAGTTAGTAGTCATTTGTGGATGGTTTTTTGATCATAACTTATGCAAGCGTGGTTAGTAGTCATTTGTGGGTGGTATTAGTGTGGTTAGCAGTTATATGTAGCTGGTAGATGGCTAAAATACATTTAGTACAAAATACGCCGCCCTCGTGTTTAAATTTGTTGAATCTGGCAGCTTTATGCGGTTGTGCATAAATACGTTTTGATTATTTAATCTCAGACACATACCCAGGAAAAGTGGAATGTATAGAATGGAACATAATCTATAATTGCAACCCAAAAAGTATGCAAAGAGAAGTAAACAATCTATATTCGAATTCTGGCAAATTAAAGGAGAAGTGAACAATCTATCTAATGGAAATGAAGTAAATGTTTGTTTGTCGGGCAGTCTCAATACGGCCCATGTGGCGCTGAGATGCACTAATATGTATATAAACATAATACTATCTCAAAATAATAACAAATGACAAAAAAAGGGGAAAAAATGAATTACTCCTACGTTACATTATCCTAACCCTGGGCCTGGGTCTAGAGTAAAGATTATCGCCATTAAATTATATTAATTAACAATTTTTTCACATTATATGCACGCTTCGTAAGTGTTTTGGTTGAAATTGGACGTAATATTGTATAACTTTCTTTATCAATTCTTCCAGTCACTTTCTACCAAAAAATTGAGGACTTGTGTTGTCAAGTTTATTGATGTTAGTCTAGTTCTATAGTTGTCTTGCGTGTTGCTACGGAAATTCCTATCGGAAAGTTTACTACGATTTGGTGTAATCAAATATCCGAATTGGATTTTTTTTTTCTGCCCCTCTCATCGTCTGAAAGCAGTCTGGCAATCTTGACTGCCCCATGAAGACCTCAAATATGAAAATTATGAAATTGTAACCATAAACTAATTAAAAAAAAAAAAAAACAAAAATTCCTGGAATTATACTCTTTTCTTTCTTTTCCATTGACCTCATAAGTACAAGATAAGAGGCTTGCTATTTCGTAGACACGTGTTGTAGAAGTAGAGGCGTAAAAGGCTTAAATATGCAATTATTATTAAGTAAACTCAAACAATGATTATTAATTTTTATTATGATCTCTTTTTTACTTTTTCTTTACATTATAGTAACGTACATTATTATATTTACGTCAATTTCCTACGCACTTTACATGCCACAAGATGACGTTGTAGAATTAAATTCCACCAATTTTGAAATTGTCCTTAAGGATCCAAATGTATGGATTGTTGAATTTTATGCTCCGTGGTGCGGACAATGCTTAAAATTTATGCCAAAATATCGAACACTCGCCAAAAACCTAAGGGGTTTAATTAGAGTAGGCGCCATTAACGGTGATCTGTATCCGGAACTAATCAAACAGTATAACGTAAAAGCGTACCCTACAATTAAAATTTTCGGCATTTACAAGAATTCTCCGCTTGATTTCAAAGATAAACGTACTGTTGCTAATTTGCAGCGAGCAGCGCTAATAGAGTTAAAAAAGTTAATTTTGTTCGGAGGTATTAATACCGGTATACAAAAAACGAGCCATGCTGGAAGACGAGAAAAGTTTTTATGAATAAAAAAATTATATTTAATAAAACCCTTTTACATATTATTGGCCTTGAAATTTTTCAAAAGTACATCAAAGGATTGCTGGCGAGATTTTTTGAAAAGTTATTTTTCGTTACCATCAACGGTGTTCTAAACTCAAATTGTATCATAAAAAACTTTAAAAGCTTGCAACAATTTTTTGTGTCACCATAAAACGCGAAGTAAGCAATATGTTCGACTACATGCAAATGCAAATAATCAATTTTATTTTGATTACCGGTCAAGCAAAACAGCAACGCTTATTAGCATCACTTATTGTTTCAAAGGTAAGATTAAAGCGTTCTATACAATAAACATTTTTTTCTATACTCGAAAAAAGAAATATTTAAACTCTTGGCAACCCTAAGTTAATCATCCACCAATCAGCAAACGATACGTAAAGAATTGTGAAGAGTAAGGGGAATTTAACAGTAAAGAGTGGACCCGATAAAAACAAGATAAACATTTTCCTATATGAATAGCGAATAAAAGGATTAAATATCTTCTTAATCAACTTTGAAATAGGCAAATTAAATTATTTTTGATATTTAAGGCAAGGCAAAGCATACAGAACAAGCACGAAACCTCTTAAGTAAAGTGTCGACGTCAACTCCATTTTAAGCAAACCGGCAGTTTCTGTTATTTGTGGAATTAACTGAAATTGAGCAAAATTAAAGAATACAGAAGATCGGTAAAATCAAAAAATGCTGTTATTTAGAGGTATGTTTTGTGCTTTATCTACTTACGATTGCTTTGACTGCCAATGCGAACTTTCGCGTTGTTTGTAGATTTTTTCGCATGGACGATTATTATGCCGTTCGCGTGGGCTTTTTATTCAAGCAACGATGCCATCACAGACTTGAATCCTACCAATTTCGATAGGTTAGTTACACAAGATGAAGCTATATGGGTGGTAGAGTTTTACGCGCCTTGGTGTGGCCATTGTCAAAGCTTAGTGCCCGAATATAAAAAAGTAGCCAAAGCACTCAAAGGCATAATCAAGGTAGGTTCCGTCAATGCCGATGAGCATAAATCTTTAGGAAGTCAATACGGTGTTAAGGGCTTTCCCACCATAAAAATATTCGGTAGCAATAAACGCTCCCCAATAGATTTCAATGGTCAACGTACTGCTAAAGCAATTGCAGATGCGGCTTTAGCAGAGGCTAAAAAGAAAATTCAGTCTGTTCTTGGTGGTGGCACCAGCAGCGGCGATTCTTCCAGTAGTGACGATGTTATCGAGCTTACGGATGAAAATTTCGATAAATTGGTCTTGCAGTCAGAAGACGACTGGATGGTCGAATTCTTTGCGCCATGGTGTGGACACTGTAAGAACTTAGCCCCTGAATGGGCTAAAGCAGCCAAAGAACTTAAAGGGAAAGTAAAACTGGGTGCTTTGGACGCCACCGTTCATCAAGGTAAAGCTTCTGAATATGAAGTCAGAGGCTATCCCACTATAAAATACTTCCCGGCTGGCAAAAAACGTAGTAGCAGCGCTCAAAATTATGATGGTGGTCGCGTTGCCTCGGATATTGTGACTTGGGCTTTGGATAAACATGTTGCCAATGCTGCTCCCCCAGAGCTGATAGAAGTTATTGATCAATCTTCCTTTGATGGTGCCTGTGAAGGCAAACCTCTCTGCGTTATATCTGTGCTGCCACACATTCTAGACTGCGACGCAAAGTGCCGTAATAAGTTTTTGCAAACTTTACGAGATTTGGGGGAAAATTACAAACAGAAGATGTGGGGTTGGGCATGGTCAGAAGCTGTTGCACAACAAGACCTTGAAACGTCTTTGGAGATAGGCGGTTTCGGCTATCCTGCAATGGCTGTTGTTAATTTAAAAAAGATGAAATTTTCCGTTTTGAAGGGATCATTCTCTAAAGAGGGAATTAATGAGTTCTTGCGGGATATTTCTTATGGCCGCGGTCAAACTGCTCCAATACGCGGAGCGAAGAAACCAACAATTAACACTGTAACACCATGGGACGGTAAAGACGGACAATTGCTAACTGAGGAAGACATTGATTTGTCCGACGTTGATTTGGACGATATCACTAAGGACGAATTGTAATTATTTTAATGGCATAACATCTATCATGCTCATTAGCTTTCAATGCCTACCATATGAGCATGATGAGAGGAGAAATTTTGCATTTGAGAATTAAGGGAATTCCAATTACTTGTGTTTATAGATTATGCATACCTCAAAAAAAAATTTTTTTTTCACCTTTTTTTCTTATAGTTTCTTATAACCCTACATCCAACTGTAATCTAGAGTTTTATAACCAATTTTTATAAATATTAATTTTCTAATATTTGGTTCTTAAAAAATTTTTTATGAAACTAAAAATTTTACAAAAAAAAAAAAAAATTATTTTCTTTCGCTGGAAAGTTATAAAAATTTCGAGACAGTTGGGGGGCTATTGCATATTCCTTCACATTATCAATTCGCCAATGAAGGAAAGGGAAGCAGGCAAGGATGTATCACTTCTCAATTTTGATCTGTGGAAAAAGGTATAGCAGCATTGCTTGCTTTTTTTTTTTTTGATTTTTCTTTCATTTGCCATTAGATGTTAGACTTTTAAATTTTACATGGTTACGCATGCACGCATCGTGCACTCGGAGGTCAAAATATGGTATGATATAGGTGTTTCCATATAACTGAACGCAACTCGTCAGTTTTTAAAGTTTTTGCTTCGTTCGCTTTCTTAGTTAGCTGGTAGCCGCGAATGAACGCTCACTTAGTTTACCAAACCATTCGAGAAGTGAAAAAAAAATTATTGTGGAAATTATGATAACCATTGGTCACTTTTATTAGATTTTCTAAAATGTCAAAAATGCACCTTTCACAAAATGACCTGTTCCTTGTAACAACAACGTGATTTTCGTAAGAATATTTTCAAGCTATTCAAATTAAATTCAAATTTAAAAAAATCGTATTCATAAAAAATTTAAAAAACAATATAATAAAACTTGAAGAATAACAAATTAGGGATAAATCGACTTCGTTCCCCTTTCTTCCTTTGTTGTTTTTGTAGCATATGGTGAGTGTGTTTTTATTTCTTCGTTTACATCAGAAACCATATGATTACTTGTGAAAGCAACCCAGGAAATAAAATTTTATTCTCCGAAATCTCAAAAAGCCATTCGAGAGTTAGAATAAGAAATGCACAACAAGGAAAATTTGATTTTGAGGAATAGAGTTGGCAAACAACATTTCACGCCAAAAATGCCCGAATCTTCATGGGGACTTTCGCCGGCGGCTTTGCATATTAGCATAGAGTTTTACGTAGGTTCTGCAAATAGCTACTGCTTTGTTTAACTTGGTAATAAAAAAAAAATGATGACGGTCTACTTTTAGGCTATCTTGTAAAATTAAATAAGTTTAGTTCGCGTATTTTCCAAACACTTTTGCATGTATTGTGCCGCTTTGAGAATAAGCGTATACAATTATCAAGAACTAAAAATAAAGAACTAAACATCTAATATTTTTACATAAAATGTTTAACTCATTCTATATGTAATCTTGTTAGAAGAAAAATTAGGAAAATAAATTTCTTAATTGCCAAAGAACAATGTTTATTTAAAAACTAAATTAATAGTCACCGTAACCGTCATTTGTTATTAATTTATAAATACTTAAAAGTATAGCGCGCAACCAAAAAGTATAGCGCGCAACCAAAAAAGTATAGCGTGCAACCAAAAAAGTATAGCGATCCATCATAAAACGTCAATCAAAATGAACTCGTAGGACAGAAGTATTGATAATTCTTTCAGGTTTATATATCAACTAACTTTTCACGAATTGTTTCAACGAATACTAACGATAAAACCCTGAGAAAGACTCGTTCAAGTGAAACAGCAATGTCGACGCCATTCAAAATTGTTGCAGTTGAACATCGAAAAATAAAGACAACCATTTACTTTTATCTCAATAAAACATAAGGGAGAACAATACATTTTTCCTACACTAGAAAGTTGTCCAATTTTTTTAACAAGTTTGGTAAACTTGTTTTTTTCTTGCAGATTGTCTCAGAGCAAACATTTCTTTTTATGAACTCTTGGCGTAAATATTGGCAAAATCTATGTTTATTTGTAAACAATGTGAATAATGTAGACAAATGTCAACAAATAAAAATGTGCGCAAAATGCAACTACAACATTATTGGAGGAGATGGTGACTCTGTCGAATGAAAGTAAGGCAACAATAATTAATGTTATACTAATCAGAGTTTATTTATTCTTTTTGGTAGACTTTTATATACAATTCGTATGAGTTCCTCTAATGTGCTTTTTATTCTCTTTAAATAGAATGTAATTATGGCATCGTTTGTTGCTACAACTTTGTGGTGTGTTCTGCATATCTAAGTAAACGCCTTTGTAGCTCATTCTCGAGTTGATGTTGCCTTATTTATAAGGCACGTATCTGTTATTATGGGTACGGACTATGGAGCCTACAATTTTGGCTCGGCTGCAGTTATTAATGATATCTGTGCAGCTTTGCTTCATCAGTGCGCCGCTCATGCTGCGAGAAAGCTATTTTTCTAAAAACTTCATAAGTTCGTTTTTTAATTAATTATTGCTTGATTCGAGGAATACGTATTACTCGTTCCCTCTTTTGATAATTTTTCGGCATTCGTTTTACTAAAAATTAATATAATAACTACGATATCCTTGTAATCTGGAGCATGATGTATAAGCCTATGCAAGGCCTTCCCCCAATACCTCTCTTATAATAATATTCCACTGATTTATTTTTAATTCCACTAAATGATTAGGACTGCTTAGGGGTTTGCCAAAAAGAGGTCAATGGTATTGGATTTTTCAATGCCCTATGTAAAGCTACCCAAACGGCCCACACTTTCTCGAAAATCTGCCGCAGCTGTCCTCTAACAATTGATTTCTTGATCAAATGCACCTACGATTAGGAGGCCAGCTGAAATTTGACTAACAAAATGTTGCAAATCATCAGAATTGTAGGTTCTGACGAAAGCCCAACGCATACAACAAACTGATTCAGATATGCATAATAGTAGTCTTTCATAGTTTTCTAAAAAAGTATAAAAATTTTATTTAATTTCGAAAGAATTGCTTACAAATTCTATAAAATAAATGCTTTATAAAAATATGAATTATATTAATACACTTTTGTACGTTATTAACTAGTGATTTTAGCTTAAAAATTTTCTGTCATAATTAAAACTAATTAAGTACATATTAACAACTAATAGTTACGGTGAAAAAATATCTTAAAAACGCACGTTGTATTGTCTTAAAAATTAAAATGCAGATTAAAATCTCTTAAAAAATTTTCCATATTTTTCTGCCTTCTAGCGGATATTCGATAATGATGTATTTCAGGTAAAAAAGAAAAAATAATAATAATTATGCTAGTCTGGTTTTGTTTATCATGTTCTTCTTCTTCGCTTTGCTTAAAGGCCTATGCACAAAGATACAAGAATTTCTGATTTAAATTGAAGAGGAAATTGAATTGAACTCACACGCATAAAAAATTAAAGCAAGCCCGACAATAACGTATGATAATAAGAATGGAAAATAATGTAGGAACAACAAAAACAAAAATTGCAGAAAACTGAACCAACGCATACTTATAAACGCAAGCACATGTTTAGCAAACTAATTTACAAACAAATGCAAAGGTGAATGAAGTGATTTACACTATGACAGAAAAAGGGCAAAAGATTAAATAGCATTTAAAATGAAATCCACGTAACGAAGAAGAAAAACAATAGTAAGGAATGAGTATTAAACGTTTGCTTAGTATTATGAAACCTCTTTAAAGGTTTAAATTGCATTGCATTGGAATAAACCTAAATGAGGTTTTCGTGTAAAAATATATAATATATCAAGTCTTACTTAAAAATTGTTTTTCTGTTCCATATTTTTTTGATCATCGGGATATTGATCTATTGATTGTATAGATCGTGCTGTATCCGCCGTTATGGTGGAACTAACATCCATAAAGCGATATTTTTTTTCATCGCGACATAATACTGGATAACACATGATGCCGTAATAAAAAGCTAAACAACCCATGATGATAACAAAGATTATGGAAATAATACCAAATGTAGAAAACCCAGACTTTTTGTCCAAATACTCTTTTGGCGTTAGGGCTGGTGTTTGAGTTGGAGGCTGTTGTGGTGCTTGAGAACCATAGTAGTGACGCCGAGAATTATATCCACTTGTTCTTCCACTCGTTCGTCCCGCTTGGCTATCCTTACAGGTGAAGGTTACTGAATCGGATACAAAAATATTTTACTTTCTGACTTTAAATAACATTAAATTACTTACCGATTAAAAAGAACAAAACAATTATATATTTAAACATTTTCTGTTTCTTTAAAATTGTTATAAAAATTTTAGCAAATAAAATCTTAAAGCACTTAATTAATTTGTCCCTCCTCTTCTCTTCTTCTTTTCAAATTCAATAAATCAACAACAGATGATTCCCAGTGCTGAGCACCTTCTTTCTCATATAACATGCACTCATGTTCCTCTCTTTTTTCAGACACAAGTAATTAAAGAAATTGCTGTCAGAGCGTCCGCGCAAAGAAAATTTGGCAATAACTACACCTACAAATCCCTAGCGACGCCAAAAGTATTTCTCAAACATTAATTGAAACTTGGCAACTCTTTCTATGAATTATAAAAAACTCACCATTAAAGAACGAAAGCAAATACAAGAAGATGAAAAGAAAAACGAGCGTCAAACCGACGAAAACGACGAAAAGCTTGATACGTTTTACTGATTTTATTCAGGAAATTTCACTAAAATTCTTTCAAATAATTTTTAAAAGTTGTAAAAAACTAAAATCTGAGGCATATTACATAAGTGCATATGTGAACATATGTAGATTTTTGGTTGCAAAAGCGATGGAAAGTGAAGTGAAAAATTAAACTAAACCAAAAGCATTTCACAGCTAGATTATATGTGTATATGAGAAAAAAAAAGTAGAAATTGTTCCAAGAAACCATTTTGTGTGTTGAAAATGTATAAAATTAGTTTTGCCAGCATATAAACGTATAAAACGAGTTAAAAAGACTTGAGATTCTATATAATAACTTTGTGTGAGAAAATTGAACAATTTGTAATTTTGAGTTGAAGAAATAAACTAGGGTATAAAGTGGACGTAAGAATAATATAGAAAGAGGAAGAAGATTCAAAGAGAAATAGCAATGCCCAACTCTGTGCATGAGTAACGTTATAGTGGCTTTTGGTTTTATTTTTATTTTTTTTCGAAAGAAATCCTTTTATATAAAAGCGAAAAGATTACAGAAAATTAAAAGAAAAAAAATATTCGCATTCGTTTACTGTGTGTTGTCGGTGTATAGAGAAAAGGTACACAATAAATGCCCGTTTTTAATTTATGTACGGTTATAGACGTTGATGATTTCTGCGATAAAGCCACATATAAACAACAAAATTGGATACTTTTGTTTATGTATGCACATCGTATTCCTCTGCTAATGGTGTGAGAGTATTTGTATGTGAGAAAATGTCACATTTGACTTTGGATGCACGCGCCATTTTGCATTATTTAAATGAACTGGGCTACAGAAATATCTCGGCCATACAACTCCAAGAATTTTTAAAAGGTAAATGAATTAAAGATTTGTAAACATTAAATAGTAGTAGTTACTGAATGGAAGATTTGCAGAAAAAATTTAATTGCTGAGAGTTTAAAGGAAATGAAGGTAAACAGGAGTGCTCTCTCCACAGTATACTTTTGTAAAATTTTCAGTGTTAATGAGAGTAACCTATCGTTTGTAAACAAAAACATTTTGCATTTTCCTCCCACTTCAACTACCATTCCCCTATCATTTCTAATTATATGAGACTATTTGTTGTCGCTCCAATGTCTTGCATTTAATTAAGTTTATTGATTACACTTATTTTCGAACAAACAGTCGGCGGATATTTTCTAACGCTGTTAATCATAAGTTCGACGTGTGTATGCGAATGAGAAATATGGTCTTTTTTTTTTTAGAATAAAACTATACGGTAAACGTTAGCTATTGCAAGTGCGATTCGTTAGCAATCGGCATGAATGTACATATGCCGGGTATGTGTTAAAAGCATACTTTTGTACGTATAAATATATATGTGCGAACACAAATGTGTACATATTTGTATGTAGTCATAACTACATTACAAAGCGAACATGAAATGTGTGTTTTAGGCTGACCGTCCATCCATAAGTTCGTTAGTTTGTCGTTTGTTCGTTCATTTATAATCAGACAAAATTCAGAAGCACACCAATTTGCCAGAGTTTCGCATTTATGAAAGAGAGGGAGAGTTAAGATGGTCCGTAATATAAAAGACGAATGAGAAATGAAATAATAAAGTAGACTCGGCAGAACCAGCCTAATGTGTACTAGTGTATATATATAGTATCTTTATTTTTTATTTATTTATGTCATTTTTTATTTTTGTGCGATAGTCACTCGCACACACTGTGTACTAGTGGAGTTCAGTAGAGTTCTTCTGACAACGTCAACATAATTTAAGTTTTATTTTTGAAAGGGAATCAGCCCTCAGTCTTTTTGTCGTCTACGGCTACGGTAGTGTATACGTGTGCATACGTAAATGCGACATGACGTTATATTAAGGTTGTGAAAAGTGTGCGCGTTGATCAGAGGGATGTTTCATATGTGAATCTATCAAGAACATTAAGTATGCTTCTTAGCGACGAACTCTTCTTACCTTATGGATTTCAGTTTAGAAATCGTTACAAAGAAAAAAACTTTGATTTTCCATATACATGCCTGTATGCACATGTTTCTGCATTTTTACTTAAACTCTCTTGTACACTTTCCCTCTATTTCTTTTTCCTTTGTTTGCATATTATACCTTTTCATTTTACGCATAATACATAGTATTTTATACTTTTTTCTTACTGAAATGTTCACCAATTTCGTTTTTATCGTTGTTGTCGTTTTGACAGTGGTGTGTTTTTTCTTTATTTATATACATGTATTTTTATTCGTAGTCAGTTGCTTTTTTATCTCTTTTTTTTTTTTCATTTCTTACGTGATCCCCATTTTATCTGCTTCTTTTACATTCACAGTGTTAACGTTTAATTCTAACAACAACCCTGTGTCATAATCCATTGTGTAATGAGAATTTTATAAGTAAAATAAGTACATGGGATTTTTCTGATTTACTTACTAAGATTTATTCAAAGTAAAAAAAATAATTTTTTTTCGCCTTCGCAACCAACGCCGAAGAAAAAATTCAACGTTTTACTTCTCAATACATGGAAGAAAACAGCTGTTATCTATTCAACATCAGGCAACTCCAATAACTATTGTTTTTTTACTCACCTATAGGTAGAAAGTTTATTGAATGCGCGCTAAACGAAGACTGGCTTTTCTTAACCGGTAATAGAAAAATTAAATAGAATTAACTCTTAATTGTCGAGACTGTATTGTATCGTTGGCGATTAAGCTAATAAAACTGACCTCCGAACTCCAGTGCGTACTCATGAGAAAAACGTTTACACGGGAAACTTGGAGACAAGCCTAATTTTTTATTACTCCCCCTTTACATTATATTCTTTAGTACAAGATCGTTAATATAAATTTGTCCTCTCTGTACCCGTTATAGATCGTTGGCATTTTATAGTAGTTTTTGAGCATACAAACAGATGTGGTCGAACAGCTCAATGGAAATTATAGAGCAACGGAGCATATATAAGAAAGGAGTGTATACGCTTAAAGGTATAGACCATACCAAGCATTTGAAAACGAATGTACTTAATGAATTTTAAGTTGAGAGTTAAAATCACGTAAATGTGCAAATTTATACATAAGTGCAAACAAAAGCGGGAGGTAACTAAGTATTTAAACATTTATTCTACATGTAAAATGCATACATTGCACTATCGTTCAGTATGGTTGATATATGTAACAATTACATACAACGCGAAAAATGTAAAAATATATGTATTTGTACTTAATTTGAAAAGGAAAAAATTCATACAAATATTTGCCATAAAAAAATTTGTATAGAATTAAACAACTTAGTCTAAAATTAGGAAACTGACGCACAGAATTAGAATTTCCGCGATAAGGACAAAAAAATTGTAAATCTGAAACTAAACGATGTCATTGGAAAGCATATTTGATGACAGATAGTCTTTAGATAGACTCTATTAATCTGGTATAACACTATACTCAAAATTTTTTAAATTCAACATAAATTGAACGACAACTAATAACATTTACTTGTGTATTCTCTTCATTTAACGAATGATTTTTAAGCATGCTTGTTCTCCAGTTAACTTTTATTTATTTACCTCACGTAGGTCGAAATTTCAAACAGTTTAAATAAATAATCAACTATAGCTTAGCTCCGTGAATTAACCGTACGTAGTTTTACTCTAGTAAAGAAACACAAAAAATATTTTCCGTTTTGTGTTGTAAAAATATATACAAGCATCTACTCAATAAATAAACGCAGATATTTATGTTTCCCTAAACGTTTACATTTGTACAAGCACGTATAACTACATAATTGCATAATGGGTAACTGCATAGCAAATAGGTAAAAGCAAGGTTATTACAGCAATTATTGTTTCAGAATAGCTATGGCAATATTTTCTCTTAAAGGGGGATTGTCTTTCTCCGATAGAAGAGTATTATTTCACTGTTAGATCATGTTATGTACACGAAGATGTACTGCGTTGAATTTATCTGAGGGATGAAATAATGATCTTCGTACATCTGCTTTGTTTTCTCGTAGTCTTTCTTTGACAGCGTTAAATAGAAAAGGCGTTTATATTTTACTTGATTTAAAAATTGTACTTATTAAGTAAATGAATGAAGGAAAATGTATTATCTCCTAAGATTTATATAAAATTTCTATAAAATTCTTACGGTTGCTTTATTTGTTCTTCTCTTTCATTTTTTACTTCTGGACGTTACATTGCGCCACGTTTCCGTTCGCTTTAAAATAAAATCACCCACTGTTCATATGACGACAACAACAACAATTTCTACAACTATTATTATGCTACTTTCTACAATTGCTATTTAATTCGTTAGCTATTTTGCGACTAAAGGTATGCAACCGCAGTCGAGTATCAACAGTACGAGTAAATTTGATGCAAAATTTAATCAGCAACAACAATATATTCAAGAACAGCTACAACAACAATTGCCAACCTCATCTGTCACCACAAACGCAACAGCAGCAGTTTATACATCAAAACGTAGTCCTTCAGTCAAAGTAATTAAATGCAAGAAACCATTGTGCCACTTTAAATTCTACTTGGATATATGCGATCATCAGCTTACCAAACGTATTGAGGAGCAAATAAAGTTGTTGGGCGGCTCATTGGAATTTTTCTTAACATCAAATGTTACACATTTCATAACAGATAAGCCGACCGTTCTGCCAGGTAATATACGACAAAAAGTTGCTCAGGGCAATTACAATCACAGTCCTGGTACACCTCAAACTCCAACTACGCCGCTCACACCTCAAACACCGTACTCCTTAGAATCACAGGAAGTTAAATCGAGCAATGGCTTCAAAACTAATGGCAATAATACGAATAGTGTTAATGCTAAGAAAACGTTACGACAGTCAAGAGCCGATGCCATTTTAAGCCGTGCTAGACGTCAAAGCGTAACCTCAGCTACAAATACGCCCCCATTCAGCGCGTTAGGGAATCAACTGGGAACAAACTCAGTTCAAACAGCAGCGACGACACCCTTAAAGTCTCAACAAGCCTTTACTGCATCTCCGGCTTACATACTTTGGCAAGCGGAGCATGCTTTGCGGTTTTTCAAAAAGGTTCAACACGAACTGAAAGAATATTTAGGTCATATCAAAAGAAGTTCTATCAAATCTGGTAGCATAGAACCGATCAGTCTTAAGGGTGGTTTTATAAAAATAGAAACAATTAGGCGAAATTGCCGCCCCTATTATCAACTCTTTAGAAAGTCTAACGAGTGGCCGAAAGTTGAAATTTCCCGCGAGGACGGAGCTTTTCGTTTATCACCGAAACGCGAAATTCCCAAGGGAGAAGAATATAAAAAAATTGCAGTTTTAGATGCAAATATGACTCGAAAATCTCGCTCCCGGTCTTCCCAACATCAAAGTACTGTAAAAATTTTGAAAAAATCAACAGCAAATAGTCAGCGCAATGCTGTAGCGTGTAAACAACAACAGCAACAACAACCAAAAGAATCATCAGACAAACAGTGCGGAGTCTGCGAGATTTGCAAAATTGAATACGATACACTTACCATACATCTCAAGACGAAAGATCATGAGTACTTTGCCAAAAATCCACAAAATTTTATTGCCTTAGATACATTAATACATACCTCAGCGGATGTGAATAATTTCCTAGAAGAAAACAGAAAACTTGAAATAAAAAGTGAGCCACGAGAAATGGATGTTGACGACGTTGAAGACGATGAGGAAATCGGAAACAATAATGAAGAGGAAACGATCGTCCCAACCGTTACCATCAACAACAGTAACCAAAAGAATATTTCAGAAGATTCAGTGACGTTGGTTGTACCAAAATCTCTTTCGCCGACGTTACGTGAAAAATCGAAACGCGTCACGAAGGGCAAACATTCGTCGGAAAAGTTTCAAAACCTACCTTCGAAGTCACTAAAGGTTCCTAGTCCCCAGAAAAATGTTTGCATAGGGCGATCTTTCGTTAACGAAATACAGTCATCGGTATTTGCAAGTGGTTTAAATAAGAATTGCAAAAAACTCTCTTCATCAGCTCTTTCTCCGCCAATACGCGCGACCCTACCGCCTTCTTCTTTATACAAAGTAGTTGAGACTCACACTGATTTGAATTGTACACCACCTAAAGGTCGTGGCGGGAGAGACGGTGCGGTTGCCGCAGCATCACCATCAATAATAGTTAAATTTAAAAAGGTACGAGCTACGGAATTACAGGTTCTCAATGGCGAAGCGGAAAGCTTTATGTTCCCAAAACGGCGAAGTGATTCGAGTGATTTGCCCACCGATATAGATCGTCAAACAACTTCAGATCGGGTTGGAAACACTTCGTCTTCAACGCACTCATCTTTTTCTGAGGCAGAGGACACTACTGATAATTTAATGCGTATCGACGACGTTAAGTCAACATGGGGGAAAAGAGCTGTGGCGACTGCGAAACGAAAATCGCTGAAAGGCGCTATTGTTAATTCATCGAAAAAGATAAATGACATTAGCAAGCAGAGTTTTCCGAAAGCCCCCATCCAGCCAGTTCAGCAATTGAAACAACCCACTGCAACAAGAAAAAAGTCAACTAATAATGATGTGGCGACTGCTGCGGCTATAGTTGCAGCAACTGCCACAATAACATTACCGGAAGCTACTCGTAAGAGTTCTCGGACAGCTACTGCAATAGTAACCGCAGCAACTACTAGTAGTCGTTTGCTACAGGCGGCTGTTGAAGCCGCCAAAAGCAAAAATCGCCATTTAAGTACTGAAGCAGCTACCGCCACGTATTCAAAAACCAAAATGCCGAAAAAGCGAATTAAAGTGGAGGCAGTGATAGAAGACAAAGATGGCACGGAGGCAGCAGTAGAAAAGGAAAGTTCAGCACAATCTGCCAGCAAGTTGACATTAAGACAAAAACGTAGTAGACGTAAACCAGTTGTAAAATTGGAGGATGGGATGGGGGAACAAAACAGAAGCAAACAAATACCGATCGAAGACGACGATGAAGATGAAATAGATTTTGACGATTTCGATGACGCTACGGTAGATAGCGATGATATAAGAGATGAGGATTTTGTAATCGAAGCTGAAAGAAAAGCTCAAGCACGTTTAAAGCGTTTGAATTCAGTAAAAAAAATGTTAAGTACAAATACACGTGAAGAAAGGGCAACCAAACGTCAAAATCGTTTACTGAATTTCATGAAGCAGGAACGGCAGGAATCCCAGACTGAGTTGAACGACTCAATGCAAAAGCCCGCGAAACTGAAAGTAAAAAAACCTGCAAAAGCTACAAAGCCCCCGTCTAAGAAATCTCAACGTAAGTCATCGGCAAATAAAAAGCGATCAAAAAAAATCGAACGGGTTTTTGATTTCACTAAAAGTGAACGTTTGAAAAAACTGCGTTACGCTTTCGAGCGTTTGCCGACGTCCGATTTATGGTATCGAGTATATATGCGGCAGGATGAATGCCAAGAACGATACTTTGAATATTACGGCACTACCACCTATAGAAAACTGCCCTATGAATTGGGCCCTATTCCCTTTGAAACAACTTTTTTAGATGGCAGTAATGGAGCTAAAATATGCTGCAACTTATGTCAATCGTCCCAAACAGACTCTGAAAAGGACGCTTTTAATGGTAATACTGCGAAAAGTGAACTTTATAATCTAGAAATAAAAGGCGAAAAGTATGAAACAAAACCTCCGTCAACAAGTGACAGCGGAGCCAGTTCCTCAAACGTTGTGAATGACTTTGCTAACATTAGTGGGACAACTTTAGGTAATTATACAACGCCGCAGGCCTACACGCATAAGCATAAGAAGCTTCATCTGTTGCAGCGTTATCGTCAAGAACAAGAACAACAGGAATTGTTACAGCGACAAAAACTTGAAGAGAACATGAAACTTGGTGTGGACATTAAGGACGATACGTCGCGAATAGAAGGGTGCGTGGCTGTAACACCAATTGAATCTATGCGTGAACAAAGGGCTGGATCCACGCACAGCAATGCGAGCAGTTGCGCCAGCAGTGCAGCAACGCTAAATAAAGCAAAAAAAGTGCGTCAGAGGCATTTTAATAAAGCTTCATATTTAGCTCATTTAGAGCTGCCACCTCGTAAATCACCTCGTGAACATGCTTCCACACTGGCACTTGTTAGTTGTATCATCAAACAGCGGCAAGATTCGCTTAGCAAACCAAATTCGGAAACTGATGAGCCGCCAACGACGCCACTGGCTCTAACACCTATCGACATAAAACCGCTCTTAGATATAAAATCACCTCTCTTGCCAATCGAAACGCCGGCTGCTGCAGCACTGCCAGCTTCTTTAGAAGTGGACGCTCATAGTGATTCATTACGTTTACAGGCGCCTACACCCGAGGAAGAGTTACGATTTGCCACTGAAATATCCGAAACTGTCAAACGTATGCGAAGAGGACGCAATAAATACGATTATTCGCCTCCATTCGTTGCAAGAAAAGTAAGACGGCCCCGCTCCAATCGGGGAAGAGGCGCGGCAAACTGCGTTTTGGCAACAACTAGTTCCTTATGGGACAAACCCCTGCAGGTCAATCGTCTTATCCCGCAAATTCCTCAGACGTCGTGTATTAAAAGTCAAATTATTGCACCAACAGTTGTGAAAAGACGAAGGGGTCGTCAAAAAGCCTGCTTTGTCGAAGTGAATTCTCTCATGCCTTCCATACGTAAGACTGGGTCAAAGAAAGGTGTACTGGAATTCGAAGCAGACGCCACCGCACTAAAAACCTTAAAATCTGCTCCTACTGATTATGTCAATCCTAAATTGCTCGAGTGGCAGATCGATAAATATCTGTCATCTGTTGGTCGACAATATGATGAGCCGGAGCAAAACATTTTACTTGCAAATCGTTGCGATTTGCGAATTCCCAACCAATCTACAATAAACCAAAATACACCACCTTCGACGGATCACTTTTCAAGTGACTTCGATCTTTGTGATTTATTAAATCAGGGAGCTGCGCGAGAAAGTTTGGGGACGGAAGCCCTCGGTACGGAAGAAAATCGTTTAGTTGTAGACACGAAGCAGAAAGACTTTAGTTTTTTTAATTCAATAGCGTTACATAGTTACTACCGCAAACGAAAAACTCTTAAATGTAACAGAACGGGTTGGCCAAAAGTAAGTAAAAAAAAGAGCACCTGCCGTCAGCAAAAATTGCGACAGAGGATTTATTTTATGAAAGACAGCGAACCCAAGATAGAATCAAACTTGGATAAGCTAAATAAGGAAGGAATTAAACAAGAACCGATGGATGTCGAAGATATTGACGGTGGAGATAACATGGAAGATAATGATGACACAACTCAAGAGCGGACACGGGAGAGTGCTGCCATTACCCCTCCTAACAGCGAAATAGAATTGAATGCATTTGCAGTGAATGCCAATGCGGTTCTAAGTGAAAGGAAAAAACAAAATGAGGAACAAGAGGACGATGAGACTCAAATGATGCTAATTGAAGAGCAGGAGGATGCTGATACCATGCTTGAGTCGGTAGAAGAGGAAGAAGAAACAAATAAAATGGAATCCGATGTAGACGCAGACATAGAAGAAGTTGACGATGATGACGATGGCGAGGAGGAAGAGGAGGACGTGGAGAGTAGAAAGCCTGTTAAATCTTTACAATTTAAACATCAAACTACAGCATATGCATTGGCCGATGAATCTACAGAAAAACCTATGCCTTCTTTGGAGCTTTTAAGTCCTGTAGAAAAATTTCGAAATAGACTTTTGAATAACTCGGTGAACTCGGTGCATTCGCTAGCTGCCTCATCTACGCCTACGATTCATTTAATGCGACCTTTACGTCGAACGCCACAACTAAATGGTAGTCTAGGTAGTTGTATCAGTCCCAGTGAAAAAGCCGGCGATAATTCCGATATTTTTACAGTATCATCTGACGGCTTAGAAACTGATTTAGATTTAAGCAATTCGCATTCCCAACTAAAATGTATAAACGATGATGACTCCCGTCATCAAAATCATCATCATTATCATGAATCACATTTAAACAATGCTGTCGGCAACATAACACCAAAACGAAAATTCGATATATCTAAGTATGCGCCGACAAATGCGGCTACTTGTGCCGCAGAGGCGGCCACAGCTGCCGTCAAGTCTTTAGCCATTTCGCAATTCCTCAAAAAGGAAGTGCGAGTTACTTGTCGCCGTCTACGAGCACCTTTTCGTCGTTTTCGTTACCGCAGGTAGGGACACGGCTATGTGCTTATACCTATCTTCGACTAAGTTAATTAGAAAAGGCAGCCGGGATGATCCAAAGCTAACTTACGCCGAAGATGAAGGATTCCTTTCTGAGGAGCTAATTTTATCGTCATATAGTGAAAGAATGATATTCTGATAAATTATTGTATAAAATTATAATTTGTTAGTATAGAATTAATTAATATATGCGGCAAAAGAAATCGTAAGAAGAACGAATTTAGTCTAAAACAAAAGTATTTTTTTTTTTTTTTTATTATTTTGTTGCTTAATTATTTATTGTTAAAAATGTTTAATCCGTTCTTTGAGATGATTTTTCGTCATATTATTGCTATAGTCTTATGTGTTCGGTTGCTTAGTTTAGTTTAAAAATTGTAAAGGAAAAAAACAAAGATTGTGAAAAAAAAAACGAATCATATTTTAAATGTTTTAAGTTTAAATTATTGGCTCCCACAAGAAAAAAGAAAAAAAAAATATATAAATAAAATTTTCGGTAGTAAGAAAATTACACAGGAATTCTTCTTTATTAAGCTGATAAACGTTGGAAGATTTACCTATCACCTAAGTTAAGTAGTAAAACCCGTAAAAATATTCTGATTTATATAAAGAAAACCAATCAAATATTCCATTTAATATAAATCATTGCAAAAAAAACCGTATCATCCATCATCCTTCGTTAAAATTAAGCGAATAAAGTTTTAAAAGTAATCTTGTAAAGCATTTTATCATTGTAAAATAAATAAAGAGAGAAATTCAGTTACATTAGATCTTGCTGATGAACAAGAAATTTAAGCGATTGTAACATATGACAGCCGAAGAGTGTGTTACAACTGAAATAATATCACATATAAATATATAAATAAGAAAAATGTAATAGATCTGTTGTGTTGTTTTCATTCCTCTGGACTGATAGTTGAAACCATTTCGCTGGTTTTCACTTCTCATTTTATTTCGCGTCGCAATTCCATTTGTTTCAAAGATCTAACGAATTCTTTTGATAATGTAAGACACTAACATTTAAGATTAATTAGACAAAATTTTGGTATTTTGCCCTTTCATGGCAACCCATAATGTCCCAATCAATCCAAAGTTATTTCAAACGTGAAATTCAACGCCTTGGAATTTTGAAAGTAATATTCACGCACGATATTACTTGATTATATGCAGCAAATTTGGTTTAGAAATTAATTTGATATAAAAACATGGGCCGGTTAGAGAAAGTATTTTAGTATTTTAGTTTTTTGTGAAGGAAATTGAAAAATAGTAAAATTATTAGGAAATAAGAACCATTAAATTTGCTAAACTTGAATCATGCCATGTGAGGTCTGGGCACGACTGTAATATTCTTACTTGTTTTTTATTTTGAACGATACTTGACCTATTTAAGCTAGTTAATCGGCATCCCGTTTCTTTTAGAGACATCAGGAGAAGTCTGGATGTCTATGCCTACGTTTTTTTTTCCTTTTATTTTCTTGTTTTGTGCAAAATCATTTATACGATATACTTTCATATGAGTATGGAAACTGAAATACTGGAAGCAGATTGAACAACAATTTAATGCCTGTCTGTAGTCTAAATATTTGTTAAGAAATTAAATCATATAAAAATTACTCCGTGAATTGGGGTGAGAAACTGTTAGAAATATTTGCATAGTGGTTATTCAAAGGATGCGTTAGGGGCGCCTTACTATTTCGCTTATTATTTGCTCAATATTATTTATTATATATATTTTTTTTCCATTAGACTTGCGAAAGTTAATCAAATATGAAGAGCATATGGCCATTAATGCCCTTCAAGATGATTATTTTGAAAACCTTCATCGGCAAACAACCGCTAGCTATCGGGCTAAAATTCAAAAGGAAAAATCTAAACAATCCGTGTCTTCTAATGGGAAAAGAGCTGGCAGTCATAGCGGACAATATCGTCGTTCGTCGGAAACTATGAAAAGGCGTCGTGAATCGTCTGACAAAGAAAATCGTCTGCAACATGATTTATATCAAGAGCGACCTACAACAAGCAAAGCTGCAGATAAAGCGAATATTCGCTTGGCCACAAAACAAAGCGCTACTGAAAATGAAGAATCCGATTTGAAAGCGCTAAAGCTTTTGAGAGAATACTCCAGTGAATGGTTTAACGAACACATTTTAAAAAATAGAAACACGCAAACCTCTCAAGAATGGCAGCATTCAAAAGATCAATTGAAGGTTGGGAACGGGGTGCAAACTAATCAACTTTTACCAAAACATGGGAGTAAGTTTGTGACTTCCCATGCCGGTCAGGAAGAAGATGGTTTAAATCGACGGCAGCAAGCTTTATTGGCACAAGGCAGCAAAATCAGCGGTAATCGAAATCAAAAATCTCAAGAAAAGCGTCCAAGTCTACAGCAATTATTATCCAACCGAGGCAGTTTAGAAGTTTCGAGTGCAAATAAGCCACTAACCATTTCTAAGCAAGGCAGCAAAATTGTTAGCATCCATTCGGGTTCGCATGTTCGGGCTTCTTTGGAGAAGCACATGTCGAAAGAGGCAAATGAATTACCAACGATATCCAAAGAAGGCAGCAAAATTGTTTCCTCCCATCTGGGCCTTGAAAGAGACGTTATAAATCAAAGGCAACCAAACGCATCTACACAAGCGACCAAAATTGGTGGTAGGGGTCAAAACGACCAAGAAAGCCATTTAAGTCTACCGCAACTATCACTTAACCGCGGCAGTATAAATATTCGTTCTTTAGAGAAGCAGCTCTCAAAAGTTGCGAGTGATCTACAAACTATCTCCATACAAGACAGCAAAATTGGTAGCACGAATTCAGGCTTCAAGGAAGACATACAAAATCAAAAAACTCAAGGCCTACCTATGCAAAACGGTAAAGTCGATGGCAGCGAACAGAAGATTCAAGAAAGGCGCTCAAGTCAACAGCCAACATTCTCCAATCGGAACAGTGTAGACGTACGGGGTTCTTTACAGAAGCACGTGTCAAAAGATGAAAATGAATTACAAACGATATCTAAACAAGCTAGCAAAGTTGCCCCATCGAATCAGAGTCTGAAAGAAAGTATTTTAAATGAAAAAAGAACAAGCAAAATGAGCGGTAGTGCGCAAAATTCCCAAGAAAGTCGTCAAAGTTCTCAACAACTGTTATTTAATCGAGACGACGAGAATATACGGACTTCGTGGGATAAGCGTCTTTCAAAAAATACAGACGAGCTGGAAAATGGTCAAAAATTCTCCAAAGAAAACAGTAAAACTTTTAATTTGAATTTTTCAGGTTCTCAAGAGAAACGTGTAAGCGAACAACCTCCATTGTCCAAGCAAGCTAGCAAATTAGCTGATTCAGTACAGGGACTTCAAGACAATGACAATGAAGCCCTCGATAAATATTCACACACTCAAAAGCGACATATACGTCCACTACCGGCACCGCCTAGACACGTCAGCATAAACACTGGTAATAACGCAACCCAAAATGCTAGGACAAGGTCCAGTGGGCAGGCAGTTAGGACGCATTCTTATAGTCCTTCTTCAGGATCGTCAGGTACTCCAACGGGTATTAGGCGTTCTGTCCGTTCGGCCGCTCAGTTGACTAGATGGGAACCTGCGTCTCGGAAAAAAGGAGGTCAAGAGCAAAATCAAAAACAGTTACGTTCCAGAAGCCCAAGTTGCTCTTCTAGTGGCTTAAGCTTAAGATCCCGCAGCAGATCTCGGAGTGTTTTAGGTAACGAAAAACATTATTTCAAATTTTATTTTTATTTTTATTACGCCTCGTTTTTTTTTTTTTAGGTTCGCGTTCATCGTCAACAACACGTCTCCGAAAATTGGCTAATGCTGACCCAGTAGCGTTATATCAATATTACAAAAATGAATGGAATTATTTTCGTCAACAAATACCAGGAGAAAGCAAACATGAACAATTACGTTGGCATATACGACAACGCTTAAATCCATTAGATGAGTAGAAGCCGTTGGAAAATATCAGTAAATACAATATGTGTGAGGGTACGGCTTGAATTCTCAAAATTGGAATATACGTTGATTGAGTGGATGTCTTAGGAAAGTGTCCGTAATATTAAAGAACTTCAGAATACAATTTGTACTCGCAATTTAAATACGAATTCAAGAAGCGGTTATCTTACTACTTTAGAGTTAATCATGACTTTTGAAAATCTGTACAGATATGTATCTTAGTTTTGTATTAATCACGATTTTTAAAAACCTATATATACGTTCCTTCTATTTCAAATACTTGCCATTTTAATATTGAAGCGAAATTCCGAAATAAATGCAAAGTACTTAAATATCCTCTAAAGATGGATTATACGCATATATATATATATATTGGTAATGCTGATGCCTTTCAATCAGTAATATAAAAATTCTGTGTCCAAAGCTATGCCCCATGAAATTGAGAAAGTAAATTTGACTCAATAGAAATCTTCTGCACATTCCGCCGTAATGGCGAAATTGTTGGAAAATGCTAGAATAAAAACGACCACTGCGGTTAAACCAAAATCACAAAATTCCTGATTTAACTTTGAAAAGGTCATGTTTATTAGGTGGTAGCTTAACACGTTTCGGAATGTATGTTAAAAGGCAGAATAGTTTAACTAAAGTTAGAAATTAAGCGCCGCACCTATGACGTAATAAGTGGGTGTACAAACAAAATTTCTTTCTCTTTTCGTAAAAGTTCAACTTTATCCAAAATTTGATTACTACAAGGCTATCATTAACGGCAGTTCTGTCATTTATCGGGTGGTCTATGGACGGATGCCCTCACGGTAGAAACGAGAAACCCATCGACCCATTTTTGCTCGTTTTCAATTTCTGTGAACAGCTGATCTGCTAAATATGATTGCATCCATCTGAATAAGTGGCAACCGGAGTGGACCAGGCCTGGAGCGTAAAGCGAGTGCGGTAACATTTCTTAACTTAAGTTGAAAATGATTTCCCTGATTATGATCTACGCGAATTTTCATCATTTTCACGACTGAAATTTTTTTCCCCAAAATCTCGTAAACTGTTTCGTAGCATTCCTAGCCAACTTAATCATTTTCATAGCTTCACCCGCATCTTTTTCCAAATAATTTCGGCACTGCCGAAGGCGATGTCCACCCGTCGCTTTAATCTTTGATATGTATTGGTTGTGAATAATTCCACTTAGATTGTTCAAACATGAATATCAAACTTGTTTACACTAAAAAGTTCAAGTGATTTGAGTGCGTCATGCATACTTTATGAAACCACTTCAATGGAGGGAATTTATTTATTTGTACACCTAATAATTTTATCTTTTTTTTTTTTTTGTATTTATTGGCAGATGTTACTTGTCTGTTTTTTAAGGGGGTTTCAGTCATTTTCCCTTATAAATTAATTCTTCACACTTCACACTATTTTTTTTCTTTTTTTTTTTTTTAATAATCTTTATTATCGGAATTATGCATTAAAGACGCTACCAACTGTTGCTAGCTGGTTATCGGGCAAACTTTCTAAATTTCATAGATAATTGAAAAATTTTCGCTCTCGAATTTTCGGTTAAAATTTCGACGTTGAAGTTAAAGTGTGAAGAAGTCTCGTATCCACGAAAAATTTAAAGTTTTTATTTAGTGGAGATACAAAACAAAATCTTGCAAAAACAAATATTCAAAATTCTCTGTTTCTGGCTATTTTAAATCGTGTTCGTGTTTCAAATTTACCCAAAATGCAACGTTCAATTTACACAATTAGTAAATCCAACTGGAATGAATTTGGACATGTGAGTAATGACGTTGCGCTTAAAAGTATAGCTTCCACTAAAAGTGCTCACGCATTACAAAATGAAAATCATAGTAATAGGAGTTTCGTGGAAATCCATGCGCAACAACCGACTAGGAGGCGAGTTAAAAAGAAAAGAGTTAATGTGCAAAGGGATCCCGATAAAAAACAATATTTTATACCAAATATTTCCGCTGTTACAATAACTAAATCAACGACGCAGTACAGGGGCAAAAAAGCGAAATCAAAAGATTTTATAAAAGAAAATATTGCAAATGTGGCAAAAAACTCGAATCAGATTAGGCATATTAGCAAAATTTCGATATTTTCTATCGATCAATGTAAATCGAGAAACTTTGTAAAAGAAAATATTGTCAACGTGGCGAAGCAGTCGAGCAAAATTAAGGATAAGAGTAGAATTTCGAAGTGCTGCTCTGCTAATCGCGTACCTAAAAAGGAAGCTGCGTTTAGGAAAAGAGAAAAAGGGGAGCAAAACCGAAAGAAGCTACGTCTTGAGAGTCCAAGCTGCTCTTCAACTGAATTGCACTTTGCATCAGGGAGTAAATCGCAAAATATTTTAGGTATCGTAGAACGCCTTATTAATAAAGTTTGATATTGCTCCCAGTTATGCGTATTACGAATCACTTTTCTCTTATATTAGCATCATGTCCTTCATCACCGAGCTGTTTCGTTTTTGGTAACCCAAAAGCTTTACATCAATACTACAAAAATGAATGCAATTGCTGTCGTGAAAATTTACCGGAGCAAAGTAATTCTCAGAAATTTCCACCGTCCACTTGCATTAATGAAAATATAGAAACATGGATTGGCACACAAAATACAAAGCGTCGATGCCATAATGCATCAAAATGCAGAAGGCGTACGGTTAGGCGGCAAGCCTTGAGGGATTTGGATACCTCAACAGGAGTAAATAGTCGACCATGCTCTCCTGTCTACCTACGTAAATGGCAATCCTCTAATCGGCTAGGAGATGATCTGCAGCAACGCCAAAAACGATTATCTTACGATAGTTCACGTTGCTCTTCAAGTCGACTAAACGTACGAAATCAATGCCAAAATGCATTAGGTAATAAAAAATGTTATTAGGAACATATAAGTTTCCTTCTAGTCTTTTGCATTTTCTGCTTTAGCTCCACGATCAAAATCAATAACACGTGTACGCAAGCTGGCCAATGCCGATCCGGTGTCCTTATATGAATACTATAGAAATGAGTGGAATTATTTTCGTCAACAAATACCGGGAGAAGCTAGACGAATGCAGTGGCATACGAATCTATTGAATCAGTAGACGATCTTCAGAAAATATATATAAAATTTAATAAATATCAAGATATAATCTGAACTAAGACTATTAAAATATAATAAAATGGTTGTAATACCAGATTGAATTAGTTTTAGTTCAGAGTGAATCATGATATTTATTAAATTTAATATTTATTTTCGCTTTTAAATGCAATACCGAACTCTAAGTAACCGAAATAAAATACTCGTCCTCTCTGCACATTTGCTAAAAGTCCTATTTTAATGAAAATTTTTGGTCTATGATAAAACCGATTCGAAGCAAATTAAGATCATTGACGACGACGTTCCGCGAAGTATAAAAAAAGTCGCTAAATGCCTTGTATACTTCAGCGTAAGGTTAACCACATAGTTCCTTGAGTCTAGTCATGCATTTTCTGTCGGACTAAAACCCATTTGTGAAACCATTCGTACTCCGCAAGTGGTTGCTGAAATTCCTTTTTGTAGCTTAAGAACTAAGCCAGTAAGGTTATATGTTCAGATTATGTGTGCTATTTTTTTTTTTTTTTTTTTTTTTGAATTTTAGTGTACTGAAGCCTTTATCATAGTGATGTAAGGTTAAAATTGCAAGATTTAACTGAGATAAGTTTAATTTAAAAATAAATATAGGAAATCGAAAACGCTACAGTGAAACATGTTTCATCACTAAATGCTGTTTACCTGTATACTGACTTTTTAAAACAAGCTCTTTTATTTGACGTGGTCGAGAAAGTGGTCCGATCCAAATCATTTGCAATAGCGTTCGTTCTTAGGGTAAAGCAGTTTGTATAGAGGTGTACCAAACATCCATAAAAATACCTCAAAAATTACGACCTGTAGGTTGAATACAAGAAAACAAGACAGATAGACGAAAAGTTCCTTTTTGGACTAGGTCGGTATAATAAGAGATGGGTTCATCTTACGTCATTCTAGGCGCTGCATATCCGCACAAACTCAGCATAATTAAAAGTAAAAAAAAAAAAAAAAATAAAAAATTATAATTAGTTAAAAAGAGGGATTAGCTTTTTTAATGAAACAAGTTTACACTCCAAGATGAGTAGCATTTTTTGTTTTCAAAGGATCAAAAAGTCGCCATATAACCTATGAAGAATCCTGGAACCGATAATATTATTGATTAATCCACTGTCTTTGAGCCACATAAGCACACAAACTGGTGAGAGCCATTGAGGAATTTTTTATTGAATGGTGAACCGGAATACCGATTAGAGCTGACAAACGACTGACCTACGGCAATAATGTGCAAAAAGACGAATCAAAGTAAAAGGAAAGGATACATATGCATATGCGTATGTAAATATGACCAATTATCAAATTTATGATATCTGTAAATGAGATGTTCAGCAGATTCTCTTGTGTTGCAAGCTTCGCAAAATTTCATTCGGTATGGCGCGAATTATTTTTAAATAGTTTTTATCATAAGTGTGACCAATGTGTGACTCTGCCAAGTATCGTAATCTTGGAGGGTTTAAACGTCATTTCTGCTAGGAATTTATAGATCAAAGAAGGATTGATTTTGTAGAAGACGCCATAATATTTCCAGCAGCCTCGATTAGGGATTCATCTCCTCTACATGTAAATCCTGTGTGCTTCAACTACGTGACTCATGATACATATGAATCCATAATCTTTTCTTGATGAAATTTTTTTTATTTGAAATTTGATTTGATAACGATCTCTATCAGCTGTAACGACTTATCGAGTTTTTTTCGATTTTCAGATATTAAGTTAATAAAATTTGTCTAATTTGAATTTTCATTGGTAAACAAAACAAAAAATAGGAAAAAAGGATTTATTTCTGCCAAAAAAAAAAAAAAAAATTTATTTTACTTAATCTTAAAATTTGGAAAACAAAGTGTTCAAAATTTTCTGTTTCTTGCTAATAGCATAA